CTCTGCAGCAGCTGGTGCTCACTGCTGTGGATGGTGGGGATCCCCCCAAGTCCGGTACGGCCCAGATCTCTGTGCGAGTTGTGGATACCAATGACAACCCACCTGCCTTTGACCGCTCCACCTACACCGTGAGCCTTCTGGAGAATGCCCTGCCTGGCACACTAGTGGTCAAACTCAATGCCTCAGACCCCGATGAGGGCTCCAACGGGGATGTGATCTACTCCTTTAGCAGCTACACCCCACAGAAGGTGAGGCAGCTCTTTAGTGTGGACCCACATTCAGGGGAGGTGCGGGTTAATGGTACCTTGGACTACGAAGAGGCATCCTCCTATGAGATCTATGTGCAAGCCACTGATCAGGGCCCTGTCTCTATGGCTGGGCACTGCAAGGTGCTGGTCAACATTGTGGATGCCAATGATAATGTTCCTGAGGTGGTCCTGACCTCCCTGTACAGCCCAGTGCCAGAGGATGCAAAGGCAGGAACTGTGGTGGCCCTGATGAGTGTCACTGACCAGGACTCAGGGCTGAACAAGCAAGTGAGTCTGCGTATTCCTCCCGGCCTCCCCTTCACACTCAACTCTTTCAAGAACTCCTACACCTTGATCACCCAGGGCAAACTGGACCACGAGAAAGCAGCAGCCTACAACATCACAGTTACAGCTACTGACTCTGGGAGCCCCCCTCTCTCCTCCCAGAAGGTGATCTATGTGGAGATCTCTGACATCAATGACAATCCTCCACACTTTGAAGAACCTGTGTACTCAGTTTACATTCCTGAGAACAACCCCCTTGGTGTTTTGCTGTGCACCATCAAAGCCACTGACCCAGACGTCGCTGAAAATGCCTATGTATCCTATTCTCTACTAGATGGGGAGATTGAAGGGCTACCTGTCGCCTCCTATGTCTCCATTAAATCTGATAGCGGCAACATGTATGCTGTCAGGTCCTTTGACTATGAGACACTAAGGGAGTTCCAGGTGGTTGTCCAGGCTCAGGATGCCGGGATCCCACCGCTGAGCAGCACTGTCACTGTCCACATCTACGTGGTGGACGAGAATGACCATGCTCCACAGATTCTGTACCCTACCTCAACCAACACTTCAGCAGCCCTGGAGATGATCCCCCGCTCGGCATATGCTGGATATTTGGTAACCAAAATTATAGCCATCGATGGGGACTCAGGACAAAATGCCTGGTTGTTCTTCCACCTGGTGCAAACCTCAGATCCAGGTTTGTTCAGGGTAGAGCTCCATACTGGGGAGATTAGGACTACTCGCAAACTGGGGGAGGACATCACACCTACTTTCAACCTGACGGTGGAGGTGAGAGACAATGGAGAGCCACCGATGTCCTCATCAGTAGCCATCACTGTTGCCGTGGTGGACAAAGTTTCCAAAATCATCCCTGATACAAGAAGGCACTTTAAAAGTCCGAGCAACTACTCAGAGATCACTCTTTATCTCATTATCGCTTTGAGCGCCATCTCCTTCGTTTTCCTTTTCACAATCATTGGGCTTACTGTTATCAAGTGCTACAGATACAGTCTGTATGGGGACTCCTGCTGTGCAGGGTTCTGTGGGGTCAGAGAACGGTGCCCTGCTGAATTGTACAAGCAGGCCAACAACAACATCGATGCTAGGTTGCCCCACGGTTTAAAAGTACAACCCCATTTCATTGAAGTGAGGGGCAATGGGTCTCTCACTAAGACCTACTGCTATAAGGCATGCCTAACTGCAGGATCAGGAAGTGACACTTTTATGTTTTACAATACCTGTGGCCCAACAGGAACTACTGCTCCCTCTGCAGTGATGACTGAGAGGCATCTGACAGGACAGAGTGGGCAGAGTGCACAAAACCTGATCATACTTAAAAATGACTCCATTACTCCTAATGAGGTGAGGCTACGTTGATAAATGGTCAGCACAGTGCTCTGGGCAAATCTGTACTTAAGCAGAGGTTCAAACTGGAAAACTCAGATTAAGCATATTCCCTTTTGGGCTCACTGGGCTCACCCAGCTATGAAACATGGTTCTAATGAATTCTAATCTGTGCAATACATTTTGTTTCTAGGTAAATACTGGGACTTTCAGGGTCCATTTGGTAAGTTCAGTATGCATCTGTTGTCTGAGATTCACTTCATTTTTGCGGCGTTTGCTGTATAGAGTATTGCCTCCTTCCCTTTTCTTTTACAGATCTAAAATTGCCTGCTGCCACAGAGTGCTAGGGAATGACACATGTGGTCTTAAATTTTTAATGCTAAAACTAATATTGCAGGGAAAAAAATTTAAAAAGTGATTAGCCTGGAAATCAGTAGTTTACTTTATGGCAGTTATAGATTGATTCATTGATTTCATACCTAGGCAAATCTGTTGAATTTAGATCATTGCAATAATATTGCTTACTAATGTGGGCATGCTTTAGTTGTCTGAAAACTGCAATCCCTCCTTTGGTAATGTTTGTTCTACCCAGTGCTGCATGTCATGCTTTCTGGACAGTGACAATCCAGTGACATCTTTGTAGAGAATTACAGCAAGTTACCATCGTTACGTTACGGTGTGACAACTTCTAACCTGCTGGGTTGCTACTGAAAATTGTTTAATACCTATGGTTTAACCAGCAGTGTATTAACCTTTTCAATATTTTCCCACAGTGAAGAATTAACGGTTGCTTTATGCTAGCATACAGGCAGTCTGCAGTTAGTGTGTGGTTTGCATGCTCTGTACAGTTTCCTTTCTACACATATTGGAACTAAGCCGAGAAGCAGTCACAGGAGAGGCTAATTCTGGTTCACAAAAGGAAAAATTTGCAATTACTGTGTGTTGTTTGTAGCCTACAATTGTGACAGACATAAGATCAGTTCGTGCATTAATGTGTGCTATGCCTCCAGACGTGGGAAAGCTAGGGGAGTAACTGTGGTGGGATAGAAAGGAGCCTGACTTGCGTATTCTTGCCACAGAAATATAACATTTCTTTATACTTATTCATATATGAAGATATTAACATCTTTTGCAACTGTTGTTTAGTTACACAAAGATGCACAAATCTGAAGGACTAGCAAGCCTTCCATAAAAATGCTTTTAGAGAGTCATGATCATCCATTCAAAACTAATCCATTTAAAATGAATGCAGTGTTTTTTCTATAAACCACAGTGGCAGGGTATGGGGGAGGTGTTTTTTCTTTTTCTACACAGTTTTTGTACCTTAAAATCTTTCTGAGTATAATAAAATGCCTGGAATCTGTTTGATATACGAGGGAACATGAGACAGACTCTATAAGCATGTAAGCTGAAGAATCAAAGAGTGAAATACACACCTTAAATCTGATTTTCTGGGGAAAACAAAGAGGAGCAATAATTGAAAATGGCTTCACTTTGGATTGAAGAGCAGTAGGAGATTAGTTTAACAGACAGATTCCTATCACATTTTAGAGATCACTCCATTGAATGCAATGAATTAGCAAGTTTTGAACACCAGTGCAGAGCAGGCAGCGGCAGCAAAGCCAGCCCAAACTTGGAGTACAAAAGTAGAGAGAGACATATAGAACAAACTGATGAATGCCTGCCTGTGTGGAGTTAAGAGCCAAAAGAGGAATCGATTTTTCAAATAGTTCTGTATGATGTATACAGAGGTGAAATTCTGACAAGTTCTACTCATCACAAGATCTTTTCTTAGGCTTCTGCTTCTTAAACGGTCCCATGGTAGTACATATCATGAAGATGTATCAATGCCAGGTGTACATGAGAAAATGGGTGAATGTAATGGCATTCACTAATTACTAGTTCCTAGCTAATTACATACTATAAATTCTTGTCTTTCCTTTGTTTCAAGCTCAGCATATGCACTGAAAATGCCATCCATTGCTTAGCAACACTGAATTCTACTTTTTGAGGATAATGATCTTTGTGTTACTAGTTCTTCAGAGAACTGTGTTTCTCTTTTTAGGTAAAGTGAACTTTTAATCAGTCTTTAAAAGCCCACGCCTTCACCTATGAAGCATAGCAACAGGTATCATTGTCCTTGCATTGATTTAGAAAGTTAGTCTCTGATGTGTATGTTACTTTTGGATAATGTGGTCGATTTTTTTCTGTTTTTTTTTTTTTTACAGTTTTGGGAAATTGATCTTCTATTAGTTGTTCAGTGATGAGGGTGGAACCAGGTGAATGGGCTTTCTATGCATGCATGTCATACATAGGGTTTCACAGAGGGTAATATTTTGCAAATGTTTATACAGTGAGAGGAAAAAAATTTCAAAGTTATTTGGGATTAATCTCAGTAACACTCGATGCAATAAGGTCTTAGTCCTTTTCATATTTACTAGTAAGGTCAAAGATGTTAATTATTACTTTACACTAAGCTGTGACTGACTTCATTGGGTCATTAGAAGGATGCAGTGGAAGGGAAAACCCAGGGTATTAAGGTTAGGTAGGGAATTCTTTCTATCTGTTGAAGCGCTCATTCCCGTGTGACTATTCTGACTTGTACTGCTAGCGTAGTGATGGTGAAATGGAAGATTGTTTCTGCAAGACAGCCTGTGCTTCTGCATTCACCCTGCTTGCCTGTTGGTCCTTTATAGGTTTATAAGAATATCTCAAAACAAGTGTGTTTTGTAGAAGAAGAAATGTACTAACACAGCTGCACTGAAAACCTTAGAAACAGTTATTGCTGGCAGGAGTCTGGTGAATAAGGATCAGAACGTGGGGTTAATGGGTATCGCTCTCTCATCAGCTAAATAACTACTGCGGGGTGACCAGGCAGGCAGTGTAGGCAAAATATAGAGACAGCAAAATACTGTGGCTTCATTGCTGACACTGTGTGAGGTTATGGGCAGCCTGGATTCCTGCCTTTCGAAAGGGGGGTGCACGCAGATGTGAAGGGGGGGTGTGAAGATGTGATTTTTTTACTGGGCACTGCTGCAGTGATGATCCATCATTTTCAGGAAAGGATTCAGTACTTTAGTCTGGAGTCCCTTTCATCATATGCCTGTAAAGATGCCAAGTGATGTCCAAGTAGTTAGTATCTGGTCCTTGGTTTGTCTTTTCATCTCTTCCGTCTTGTTCTTAACGTTCTGTGCAGTTAAGCTCCTTCATTATGTCTTGCGTCTCATGACAACCTTTTCCCTTCAATGCAGGGAATAACAATCAAAACAACATATGTTTTAACTGAAGTTTTCTGCCCCAGAAGGCAGCCTGGCACATTCCGAATGATGAATGGGCAGTCTGGATACTTGATAGAAATAGATATCAGCTCTTCTGATTATACATTTCCTTGTACCCTTTTTTGTGTGGTGACACAGGTGGCTGACAAAATATGATGGTTCATGTGATGTTCATAAATAAATTTGCATGGTGCTCTCTGCACGCTTTTCAGAAGGAACAAAAGCTGCACATTGGTGATGGTAAGACCCAGGGCTTCATTGGAGTTTTACAGCTCTTTGCTCTGCTTCTGGCTCTTCCTCTGTATTTTGCACTTCAAAACCAGCTTGCTAAACACATGGAAAAACGCAAACAACACTTGAGTTGAACACATCTTGATACTGCTTTAAAACGCAAGCATGTTTTGAAGTGTCTAAATCTAGTAAACCCACAGCATTGTCAGGGGCAGTCTTTCCAAGAGATTTCTCACAGAGGCTTTAAAGGTATTAATGGTGGAATACCTTAGAGTCTCAGTTCAAGAACTTAAGCCTTTAAGAAATTCTCCAGCCCCACTGACATTGTAAAGGTTAACTACAAATGTTTGTTCTTTTGTTTAGTGGCAGTATCTGAACCTGTTGTGCTAAGCAGGGACAGTGCTCTGTGCTTCAGGGCAGTCGGACTCTTGGTTTGATGCTTACTGCTGTGCCAGCAGAAATTTGCATCCAATATTAAGCAGAGGAGTTTTCCTTCTCTTGGAACTCATTAAGTATACTTTACAGATGCACTTGCCTGTTCCTTCACCTTAGTTTTCTCAGAGTTAGGAATGCAAATGAACGCTGCCAGACAGAAAATCTTTGGGCTTCTGAATTACACCCTTTTCCAGTTTCCATTCTGATTTCTTGTATGATAAACACATGTTCAGTCTATAAATAGTTTGTTCTCCACATCAAATTAACTCTAAACATTTACAGAAGGAAATCAGGAATAGAAGCCTCTGCTTCCCCACATCTGTCAGCATCATCTCACTGGAAAATAAGCAGAGCTGTATGTGGTCAGAGGTTCTAAAAGGCCTTTTATTATTGCTTCAAAGCGGATGTATTTGATAAATATACCTTATGTCATTCTGTTGTGCTTTTGTGTGGAAATAGGAAAGGAGTGGGATGCTTTTAGCAGTCTCATCATCTGGTAGCTGTTTGTAAATGTTTGACTCACACTTCTCTACCTCAAGCAGGCCCTGTTCTAACACCCACTGAAGTCAATGGGAGGCTTTGCATTGATTTTCATGAATATGGGATCAGGACAACATTAAAAAACTTTAAAAATTCCTTCTATCCCCAGGACAAATCCTTACTGTGTTAAAGTATTAGCTAAAAAAAAGGACTGAGCAAAATGTCTGTAACAATATATTTTTAATTATATTTATTCTCCATGAACCAATTATATAATTCTTAAATTAACCCATGCTGTGCAATTTGAAAACAACTGTGTGAAATTTTGCATGAGCTTTTTTGCTATTAAGGTGGCTCCATTTTATATTATACATTCACGTTGTTTATCAGACTTTCAGTAGGGTTGGTTGTTTCTGACTCGTGACATTAATGCTTGTGGTTATGTGGTTGGCAGAATGTAACCCTGGTGCCTGGAAGAACCAGCAGGGGCAAACTTTTGGCATGAGGTGTTCACCTGGTGCAGTGACAACCACTCCTATAGGCACCTGGGTAGATCTTGACTCATCTCACAACTATGATGATGTGTGCTGTTACTAAATCAGAAAAAGCAGGTGATGGGAGAAACAGGGAATGGTTGATTACTTCTGTGCTGGATCATGTGATTTCCCTCACCTCCACTGTTGCGAGGTAAGGACAGGACCACTGGACTTGATACATGGCTTCCAAAAATCTCTGAGGGAAATGGCAAGCTAAGGTTACCCTAAAGTTAGTAGAAAGGGCTGGCGTGTGATAAACAGGGTCTTGTAATGAGTTGGGAGCTGGGGAGGGTAAAAGGAACAGTAATATCTCCGTCAGCATTGTGTGACATAGCGAGAGTATGGGGATATACAACTGGGAAGCATCTGGACCACTTCAGAGTCTGTATTCTTCTTTGTGCTTCCTCTCTGTACTCATGCTTCCTGGCCAGCTGTACCTTGTCCTGGTGTTGTTGATTTATGACACAGCTACACTTCTCACAGCAAAGTCTGTGACAGGGCTTTGCAGAGGAGCCAACTGACAGCTCCTGTGCAGGCTCCTGTCCTGTGGGACTGTGCTGAAGACACTGCTCTACTTTGAGATCAGCCATATCGTGTTATGACACAGTGACTGCGTGTTGTGTGGCAGCACACGTCAATGTGGCAGGTTTCAGTGGGTGTTTTGGTAAAGGTGGACTGTTGATAGCCAGAGATAAAAGCCAACCCAAGCATGCAGATTGTGAATGCCTGATGGATCTATAAGAAACAACACTGCTGCATCTGAACTGGGGAAAGATATTACTGAACAGGTTTGCTTCTTCTACTATGCCGTCACTTCTGTTACTGGTCATGCTTTTTACTTTTCTCGCTCCTAATTGCCCAATCTCATTTAAAGATGTATTGAAACAACTCTTCTCTTATGACCAGAGGATCTTAAAGAATTACAGTCTGTAACAGAACAAAAGGAGAAGCCAGTTACACTGACAAAATTGGAATTTCACCAATTTTGCCAGCTGCAGGACATTGGCCTGTGATAACACAAGTGTGGGACAAAGACAGGTCTCTTGCTGAGGTCTGAAAGTTCCCAGTCAAGCAGTGTGCACATGGTAAAACTGGGTAAGAATAGGTTTAGAGAAAGGCAGACTGCTGCCCAACTGCCTGCTCTTCCTATGAAGACTTCAAAAAGTAGAGAAGTCCCAGACATTGAATTTTTCACAGTTAAAAACAAAAAACAGCCCCTGAAAGGTCTGAAAGTCAACTGTGGCAATAGATATTTCCACCTCCAGAGTATATTTTTCCGATCCTGTCCCCTCCTTCCTTCTTCTGCTCCTCTGGGAGCAGCACTACAGCCCTGCCTAAAGAGTAATAACAAGTAGAGAACTGCTTGGGAGTGGCCACAAGATGCCACAGCTTCTGGATAGTAAAAATTGAAAATACCACAATCTCCTAATTGCTGCTGTTTCTGTTATATTGACATGGTGAATGTTGGTCCATGCATGTGGAGTGAGTGAACGATGAATTTCTAACCGATGAGTTTCTCCTGCCATCGTCACCCATTTATGATCTGGTGTCTGAAAGTTCCCACTGCAACAAAACATAGGTTTTTTTCTTCTAGCCAAGAGCTGGAAAGCTCTCAGCTGAAAACCAAAAATCTATATACTGTGAGCAAGTGGCTGTTTTCCACTTTCCTCACTCCTATCTAACTCGTGTCAGACCTTTCCAGTTCTTTGATGTAATCTCACTTCATCTGGGCTTTGCCTGGGACTGTGGTAAGATTCCTTCTTCTCACACTGCCTATAATCCTGTGCATATCAGTAACCTGCACCTCTCCCATCACAAAAAAGAGCAAAGGGGCTTTCCCCCCAGCCCAGCAGTTCCACTGCTGTAAGAAAATCCCCAGCAGAGGAAAAGTCAAATCTTCTGGTGTCAGCACCCTTCATACGTCAAGAAAGGCAAACTCAGGAGAGGGTCTGATCAGTGTGTATTATTTTCTATCCTCTTTCATTGGCTGTTACTGCATGGTTGACTTCAGAGTTGCTTTGACATCCCTGGGACCGGGGCCAAAACTGAACAAATCAGAAAATACTGGAACCATGCATAATGGGCTCCTTGTCAAGCCACTTTCTGCTAACCTCAGCAGAACCTGAGCATGCCAGAGAACTGGGGGCTAAATGGGAAGGAAATTGCTAGCACAGATGTTTAATGTGTGGTTGCAAATAGCAGCCTCCTCCCTTTTGTGTAACTCAGACCATAAAGAATACTAGGATGCACATCATCCAAGAGCACCTCACTCTTGAGTGATGCTGGACCCCGGAAATATGGTGATAGAGTGATAGTGTAAGTTGTAATTGCTCCATTTTTATTTTAATAAAACCTATTGATCCAGGGAAAAGCATACACCAAATCTCAAGAGGAAAGACAGAGTTGGCTTTAAATAATTCAGAACATTCAACACTTTCTTCTTCTCTTTCAAGTAATGGGACAAAATTCATTTCTTATCTGCCTCCAATAGCTTGAAGAGAATTAAACCATTACTGTCATATATTATTTGTGTGTTTGGCACTGTACAAGACACACCAGGAATGAGTGTAGTCCATTATGTTTCTGGACATAAGTTCTCTCTTTGAATTCAAGCGCCTGAAGTTGAGCACTGGCTGTGATATCACCTACAGAATAATGTCTTGAGAATCCTGAGAAATAACCTTGTTATGTGCTTAGGGCTTAAAGGACCTGAGCTTGCATTCATTGGCTGTAGTTGAAAATTATTGTGATGGTCCCCTGACAATGCAAAAGAGATTTTCTGGATTTTGATCAACAGAGGATTTCTTAATTATCTCCATATTTAGCAAGCCATTCTGCAGCAGATCAGCATATGCTGAGGTTTGTTGGTCAAAGGGTATTGCTGGCTATTTTCCCCTTCCACCTCTTATGTCCTCTCATGAATATGGAGAATGCAGTAGTTCTTGATATTATGAAAGAACATGTCTGCCTTTGGTAAAAGACTTTCTTCAGTCTGCAAATCTGATATAATCTAGTGCAGTCCTCTGCAGCACAGTAAATGCCAGAAGAAACCTCACAGCAGACTACCCTGCATGTCCCCTTCACAGGGGGCTGTATTTTATACGTCGTTAGGCAGATGCTATTCAGTGCAGGAGCTCGAGTTTCCCCGGCTTATCAGGTAAACAAACAACGTGTATTATGGATTTATGATGGTTTTTTCCCTATGCCCAGAATGTTGATGAATGTACGAAATAACTGTCCACCAGTTTCCATTCTTAAATGTTCCACAGAGATCATCTCTAGCCAAAGGCCTTGGCATGCAAACAAGTTTCTTTTTTGCAGAGACAATCTCTGTGTGTCCATTTGAAAGTTTCTTTAGATTTGTAGAAGGATTTGGCAGTTCTGAATGTTCACAAATATTGAGTAGCTCCATCTAGACTCTTCTGACAAAATTAGCCAGATGCATATGCTTTTCAGCATGTTTAACATACATTAACAACATTATCCTGGGCTTTTGTTTCTACAGCCGAAACACCCCAATCCTGACTGGCGCTACTCTGCAT